TCACATGATCTTCAGAAATCAGTATAATATGCTGATCTGCTGCTCAAGAAACATTTCTGATTATTATCAATGTTGAAAACAGCCGAGTAGAATTTTTTCAGGTTTCTTTGATGAATAGAAAGTTCAGAAGAGCAGCATTTATCTGAAATAGAAATCTGTTGTAACATTATAAATGTCTTTATCATCACTTTTGATCAATTTAAAGCATTCTATTAAATGCCCCCCCCCCCCAAAAAAAAATATATACACTGTATATATTGAATTATCAACTAAGATGTTATGATAGTGTTTGGTTCAGAGCATATTCAAACTAACTGATCCTTAGCTTTGAACTCTATATGATCAACAAAGAAAGATTGGATTCAAAATACAACACATCTCATAAATCACTCTTGAAATATTGTTAACATTTTAATTGTTATTGATTTACTTCTAAAAACTTTTTTAAAAATTAGCAAAAACTATATTTACAAGGTAGATATAAACTAGTGCTGTCAAACGGTTAATCGCGATTAATCATATCCAAAATAAAAGTTGTTGTTTATATAATGTGTGTGTACTGTGTATATTTATTATGTACTGTATATATAAATACACACTCATATAATATATATTTTGAAAATAATTACATGCATATGCATACATTCTTATATTCTTATATTTTTTATTATATATATATATAAATATATTTAATATATAAACATCATGTTTTTCTTAAATATATGCATGCATGTGTTTGTATTTCTATATACTTAATAAATATACACAGTATACACGCATATATTATGTAAACAAAAACTTTTATTTTGGATGCGATTCATCGCGATTAATCATTTGACAGGACTAATATAAACAAAATCTTAATAGGTAAACATAACCCTTCTTATTAAATGTGTTTTGGTAGTGACAAATTTGAGGAGAGGAAAAATATTCCCAAACTGAAAATACAATATGAGAATTAACTGCACAATTATTAGATACGTGTACCTTAGATATTATGCGATTTGCATACACGAAAAAATTGTGGAAAAAAGACACATTTTTTTCAAGATGTTTCCAACTCTGATTTTGCACCAGTTCTGTAGAATGGCACACACACACACACACACATACATAATGTTTCTTTAGATTTGAGGGTTTTGTTCAGCGGATATACAGTAGGTCATTAGGCAATGCTTAAATTCATTTTCTAATATCTTTGCAACGCTTTGACATATCAAAGTTCTTTTCATATGTTTTTGCCAGCACTCTAACTAGATGCTGTGTGTAAAATTTGGTGAAGCTTGAACCAAAGACCTTGGTGGAGTTCCAGTTTTGCACAGACTAGCAAACTAACACTAAAAAAAAGTTTTTATTATTATATTGCCAATTTTGTGTGACTACATTTGTTGGCATCTAAATGCAAGACCCTGCTGAGAAAGATCAACTAATTGAGCTCAAGTCTTAAATGAGAGTTTGGATTTGGGAACAGACCTGTGACCTTCTAAACTCTAGCCTTTCCTTTTCTCCTTGTCCTCTTCCTAGCTAATTAGCACGACCTTCATTAAATTGTTTCATTTGAACTTGTGGTAATTAACTGGGAGGCTGTAACATTGTAAACCTGTATGGCCAAGGCAAATTGGAGTCAGTGAAATGTCAATCAATTATTTTGTTCTCCAATGAGCTTTAATATGTTAACATAGGATGCATTTTTTTCCATAGAGCTGTCACTCAGACTTTCACTCTGATACTTTTGAAGCATAGCAAATCAAATGAAAGTGTCTTTATTTCAGTAATATTAGAATCCCAGTTCTTTATAGTACTGCAGTGACCTGAAGGCCCCAAATGTCATTCAAATTGAAGAATGAATGGGTGTGATGTCATTGCAAACAAAAATCTAACCATACCGAAGTTCGTTTATGGTTTGTCTGGGTAGTTTGAAACAGTTCACTAGCCCAAACTTTCCAGAAAACTTCAAACTGATATTGGTCCATAGCAAATACACAATAGGTGGCTGTGCTGTAATGCTTCACCTTTTTTGACATGGAAATTTTTCAGGAATATGTCTCGGAATAGGTTTATTGAGGTGAGACACGGCTAATAACATGAACACACAGGAGAGCTGTGTGACGGCATTGGAATGTTTTGCAATTAGTATACCGCTGCTCATGTATTTCAAAACACTTTCTAACCTCTGAGCGAAGAGTGAAACACTTTTTCCTGTGAGTATTTGATTACACGAGGATTGTCACCTTCCATCAATGTACCTGCCCTGACAGACAGTTCTGTCAGCTTTTTGTTTTGCCAGCCTCAGTGGCAATGGATGACTGTGATAATGGACTTCCTGTCGATGCGTTCCGCCTCTACTCTAATAGCACCTTGTGTTGACACTGTCAACAGCCGTCACGCACTGTCTAATTTCTGCAGGGATTACATGAACGCCATTAAACGTTGAAGATGTTGTGATGCTTAATGCGAGAATGATCTCTCAAAGTCACCCAGAGACACATTTAATGCCTCTAACAAGCATACAATCACATTTTACAGTGACGTTCAGTGTTTGGACCGCATGATTATTAAACACTGGGGCGAAATCAGTTCACAGATGCATCGTGATTCTTTGTGAGAACATTTATACCAAAGGATGTACCCATATACCCATTAAACCTACTGACATTACATGTATTTATGCACAAAGCCCCTTATATGGCATCATTACACAACAGTTGAAGACATTTTAAAGTGTTCTTGACATCTTCTCTCTAACACAAACCTTTGTTTACCTGACATCACACCTCGCATCTCTCCAGATGTGTTTAGTGTATATCTAAAATGAAAATTCTGTCATTAATTACTCACCCTCATGCCGTTCCAAACCCGTAAGGCCTTCGTTCATCTTCGGAACACAAATTAAGATATTTTTGATGGAATTTGACAGCTCTCTGACCCTCCATAGACGGCAAGGATATTACCACGATCAACACACAGAAACGTAGCAAGGACATCGGTAAAGTAGTCCATGTGACATGAGGGGTTCAACCTTAATTTTACGAAGCTACGAGAATACTTTTTGTGCGCAAAGAAAACAATAATAACATAACTTATTCAATAGTTACCGTCGTCCACCATTTTGGAGAGTACCCCAGAACGTAATCAACGTGATCAGCGCATGCAGAATTGTTGAAGAAGTTATGTTATTATTGTTTTCTTTGCGCACAAAAAGTATTCTCGTCACATAGACTATTTTACCGATGTCCTTGCTACGATTCTGTGTGGTGATTGTGGTAATATCCTTGCTGTCTATGGAGGGTCAGAGAGCTCTCAGAATCCTTCAAAAATACCTTAATTTGTGTTCTGAAGATGAACGAAGGCCTTACGGGTTTGGAACAACATGAGGGTGAGTAATTCATTAATGACAGAATTTTCATTTTTGGGTGAACTATCCCTTTAAGAAAACAACTACAACAACAACAGCAAAATGCCTTACAGTTAGTCAGCAAGCTGATGGGGATTCATATTGGTCAAAAAAATGTTTTTAATATGTACTCAGTATTAATTGCAATAGGTAGGTACTCTGCTATTTGTGCGCAAAGAAAACAATAATAACATAACTTCTTCAACAATTCTGCATGCGCTGATCACGTTGATTACGTTCTGGGGTACTCTCCAAAATGGTGGACGACGGTAACTATTGAATAAGTTATGTTATTATTGTTTTCTTTGCGCACAAAAAGTATTCTCGTCACATAGACTATTTTACCGATGTCCTTGCTACGATTCTGTGTGGTGATTGTGGTAATATCCTTGCTGTCTATGGAGGGTCAGAGAGCTCTCAGAATCCTTCAAAAATACCTTAATTTGTGTTCTGAAGATGAACGAAGGCCTTACGGGTTTGGAACAACATGAGGGTGAGTAATTCATTAATGACAGAATTTTCATTTTTGGGTGAACTATCCCTTTAAGAAAACAACTACAACAACAACAACAACAAAATGCCTTACAGTTAGTCAGCAAGCTGATGGGGATTCATATTGGTCAAAAAAATGTTTTTAATATGTACTCCGTATTAATTGCAATAGGTAGGTACTCTGCTATGGAAGCATATTAAACCTAGTGTAGGAAATGGCAAAAGAAAATTATATTATTGAATTTTCATTTTCATTTTGCAATAAATGTTGCACATGTGTATGGGAAAATGTAAATTTAAATACAGAAATACATTGCCATTTTATATATTGCATTGCCATTTTGCATATTACATTTCAAATTGAATTTTGCTACCCATATGCTTCCATACTCTGCTTTGAGAATCACATGTAATCTCATCATTACACCATGACATGAAATTAAAATGGAATCTAACTGAAATGAATTGAATCGTGTGGTGCCCAAAGATTACCTCTAAGGATTATGGCACTTTGAATGAGGTGCATTTGTCCGAGCTCTATAATGGATTTCGTTTGACAGAAAAGTGTTTCATTACCACTAGCTGAGCATCTTGGGGTAGCTGCCTCTTTTGACCTGTGGACAAACTGATGCCCTAATATCCTATGTGTCATGAATTGCCTCCATAATTACATTTAATGGGCCGAGGGATGTGAGAGAGCAGTCAGTGGTTTGCATATGATCATTAAAGCTGTGTTTTCTCTTCTGTCAGAAGTGGGTGTTGAACAGGCAGTACTACACAGACAGCATTCACTCCCACACAGGCCTGTGATTCCACTGGTGGCCCGCATGGCGGATCAGAACACATCCGGAACTCCTGCCATGACCGAGAGAGAGGCGTCAAGACTCGACAAGTTCAGGCAGGTTCTGGCGGGACCTAATACTGATCTGGGTAAGATGCTGTTTTATGGTTCTTTTACTTAATTTCTGAACTCCCAGAGCAGTCCATCACATATGGCACTTTTCCACTGCACGGTACGGCTCGGTACGGTTCATTTTTGGGGGGTTTTCCACTGGGTACAGTACCTGGTACTTTTTTTTTAGTACCACCACAGTTGAGGTTCCAAGTGAACCGTACCGTTACCAAAACGTGACGTGTAAACTCTGCTGATCACGGATTGGCCGGAGAGAATCGTCACTACCTGCGTCACTGACCTTGCGACACAAACACAAAAAGAACTGCTAGATTTAAATCGGCAAGCCAGCGAAGGGTTGAACGTTTTGAACGAGTGCACCTTTTTGTAACAACCAAAAAGTTTTGTTGTCTGTTGCGGAAGAACAGAGGTTTCAGTCAAGCAGAGTACATCAAAACGATTATCTGTGATCATTTCATTTACAATAACTGCTTTGGGTGAGTTAGTGTCACTCTTCATGTGCTTGGCTATAAGAATACTCTTAAATCTTCAACCCTGCTCCTTGGAACCCACTGTCCTAAAACGTTTATTTCCAACCTGCTTCAGCTCACCTGGCCTGTTATGTTACAAGTGATCCAGAAGAACTTGAATTAGCTGCTTCAGGTGATTAATTAGAGTTGGAACTAAACTCTGCAGGACAGTGGATACCCAGGATTTAGGGTAAATTATTAATTACCAGTAACATGTATTAAGAAAGTAAATAAGGTACATTTTAACAGTATGCAATCACTACAGTCTTTGCTCTCATATAATAAGCAGGGCAGATCCATGAAGTCAGGATGGTGTAGATGTTGACAGGTCTCTGGATGTTGGAGTGTCAGTTCTGGTTTCATTTGACTGGCTCTGAGGGCGTCCCTGAATCAGTTTGGCTGCTGTTGCCGTTATTAGACATCTGAAATTATGAGTCAGACATGTGGCAGCAGAATTAAATATGAATGAAATCTATAATTAAGCTGGGATCTCCAACATGATAATGAATTCCCAACCATTCACAGCACTAATTACTGCCCTCTATTGGTAGAGACTCATAATACAAATAACCCATGAAATTGCCCTGAGCACCATTTTTTTCCCCCCGTGTTGACGTATTTCCTATTGAAATAGGAAGTTTAGGTGGAACATTTTTAAATAAGCTCTTTACTATATAGAAATATTGTAGCATGTACAACTCCAAGCTTTCTTGTTAGTCCAGCCTGACTATTTATTGAAAATAAACTGCAGAAACGGCTCTTTGGAAATTATAATGGTCTGACATCACCATCACCATCAACCATGAACAAAAGACACTTGCATATGAACAATATGTAATCAGTATATCACAAAGTATGTACAGGAAGGATGCATGTGCGTACACATACATTTGTAAGGAAGTATGTATGTACGTACGTGCATACATGAATAATGTAGGTAGTGCGTATTTATGTTACGTACATACGTAAGGAAGGAAAGATGTGAGTTTGTGTGTGTACATACTTGGGGTGGAATGGTTCAACATACTCACGGTTCGGTTTGTATCATGGTTTTAGAGTCAATGTTTCGGTACGGTTCGGTATGTGCTATGTTTAGGCAAAAACTATACTGTCAAATAAAAATAAAGAAAATGAGAATAATCTAACTACAAGCAACAGCATAAATAAATACAATACAGTAAAGATACAAATAAAATAAACAGTGATTTTCAGTTTTTTTTAGGTAGGCTAACATTAGTTTTTAGGTACAGAAATTTAATAAAGTAATGAAATGTAAAACAGCATTGCATATTTGACTGTATAAATTAAAGATCAATCTTTATTAAAGTTACAAAAGCTATTCAATCAGGAGCAGTGAGGGATTTCTTTGTTGTTGCTGTTTGATTAATATTAAGAATATGCTGTCACTTTAAGACACTGTAAGTACGTTCAGCCGGCTATGTCGGCTATAGGATACTTACCAAGACGGGCATTTTGACATGATTTTTATGTGAATTTGTCCATTTAAATACAATATTTCAGAGAGAGATTAATATTTGCACGCATTCTGAGGCACGGGTTTGCGCGCTTCGGATGAGTGCACGCACAAATCTTCTCACTGCACGCGTGAGCTCGCGTCCTCTGGCAGAGACTGGCTCTTAAATGCTTAAACTGGCAAGGCTTAAATGAGTTTAGCTTAAACACAGATATCAATGTGTGCTGTTCAGGTCTCACCGCTATCAGCATCTGGGTGATGACGAAATAAATGACTGCTCATATTCCAGCATTCGCATTAAACAAGAGTGAATGGTTTGTCCACGTTTTTTTTTCTTTCTTTTTTTCATCGCTGTTGTTGTAATGTATTGGGAAGCCAGAATGCGCATCCATCAACAGAAACATATATTAGCCGAACCCTGTTTGTTTTACGTGTTATTTATAGCAAACCATATTACAGATTCGTTGTCAGATTTAGGTTGAACCGCGGTCCTAGCGCGACAGGATAAGAAATCTTTGAAGTCCACTTTTTTACGCTCTGTTTCCAAACACTTAAAATGAGAAATAAATGCATACTCCGAAAGCGCTCCACAAAAGGTGTGATTATACCATCTGGGTGCTCGAAATTGAACGGGAGAATGCACGTTTCAACTATTAGTAGAGAAGCTGCCAGATAGAATTAATTCGCACATGCAGTTGCTCTCTCACTAATGCATTAATATAAAAGTAATCTTTACAGTGCTACTTTATTTGTGTGTCATTTAGAACAAGCAGCAATCTGTGAGAAATATAACGACCCAAAGACTGATAAAAATTAGCTGTTATAGGAGCAATAGCCATGTGGGAAGGAAGTACGAATGTACATAAATTATCTATAGTTCATGTAAGGTTTTTAAAATAAATAGGTAGGCACAGTTTACTTCTGTCTACAAAATTAATTTCAGGCATTGAAGTGTAAGCTTTTAGATCTCAATATTTTTAAGATAAGAACATTTAAGTCTAACATGTCCAGATTTTTAATGGGTCGTGTATTTGAGCATTGTACCAAAGCATCTTTGAAAATAGATGAAACAGTACATAGACATTCAATTTGTCATATCTGACACACAATAACGAGCAAAAGTCATTTTCGTTCTTTACAAGCTCTTGTTTCTGAAGCGTTTGGTGTCATCTCTCAGTCACTGTATTAATGAGTACCTGACAGATGTGTTTTTAAGAGAGATGCCTTCAGATGGTCAGCCTTTACCTCTCTGAGCGAAAGAAAGACTGCTACAATCACAGGAAGCAATTACTCCTTGATGCTGTCTACTGTTGCCATGGCGACGCATCACCTCTATTGAACCCTTTTCACTGTCTGACTACCTTTTCTTTCCGTGCGTCTCAGATGGGGGAGCTGTGGTGCTCTCATGGTCTTAACACAGATGATTCTTCTCTTAGTGCTCAACCTCAATACTAGAAATGCAGTCTTATTCAAATTCGCTTAGTTTAGTGCCATTTATGACACAGAAGTTCTTTATGGAATTCAAGAATATTATATTGAGAATCTGACATTGAGCCATTGAAAGCATTCCTAGAGACACTTTTTCATAAGATGGGAGTAAATCTGAAAAAAAAAAAAAATGGTTTATATAAAGTATTAAAGAAATATGAGTTCTGTGGGGATTTTTTTCTTGTATGCATCTCTTTTCTATTGACATTGCTCAAAGTGCTCATATCTATCAAGCTTGAAAAAAAAAAATGAAAATGACAAAAACTAAGATTTTTGACATCTGTTCTTCGCGCAGATATGTATTTAGAATAGTGGAATATATTGCAAGAGTTGTACATTAAAACAGCACTACTTTTTAAAGTGCTTTTTTGTCATTTTTAATAGTATTTTAACCGTCTAATTTGTCCAGTCATTTGATTTGTGATTTTGTAAATAATTAAAACTTCTCTGCTGTATCAGTGACTTATGCTAATACTGAAGTAAACCGATAAATAACTTATTACATATCAGTGTTTTGATAGATTTTTGTTTTGTTGTTTTTACATCATTAGGCTACTGTTAATGCTTCTCATTTCTACCAATATAAGCATGTTAATGGTTTAGCCAGTTACCTTTAATGCATAAATCTAAAATAATCTAAAATGCTCCTAAAAATACTGAGACTCATTATTTTGCACATCCTCATTTGGTTTTAAGTGTTAGAACTTCATTCATTATATAGAGTCACATTGCTGCTTTATTATATTGTCTTTTAACAGCATATTTGTTAAGAATAACAAATGTGTTTTAAGTGAATCCTACAAATATACAAGTTATCAGCATAATGTTGACAGCAAAATATATTTGGCTCATATTTATTATTATATTAAATCTAAATAAGTGGTTTTAACAAGACAATTGCAAAAGAAGTCTGCACTTAGCTATACATGTGTGCTGGCATTAGATTACTGTGAAAGACAAGGTCAGTAAGCAATCCTGTTTAAACTAAGTTTGGTAAATGAATATGAAATGAATTTAAAATGAATTTAGAGATTGCTGATTGACTATTTGTTGAATAAACTTTATTTTTGAGTCTTGGCTCAATGTTGTAATTTATTTGTGGATAGTACTAAAATGCTTAAACTATTTCTTAGTGCCTTATTACAAAGTCAGTATTAGCAGCCTGTGTTTAATGCTTTTTATGGCTCTGTGATAGTATCAGTTCATCATAGAAAGAAATATAGAATATTGCTCACATCAAGGTCTCTGTTTAAGCAGTCTACAGCTGATCAAGGTCACCTGGATCTGCTCTGGAGTCATGAAGTACTCCAGACAGTTGTTCAGATAACCTTGGTGAGCAATCAAATCTTCCCAGGCAGCACTCGAGACACAATTAACTGTGGTAAACCAAGTCCTTTAAGTGAACGAAGCACCAGTTTTTAGCTTCTGAGCCTTACTTCTTCAATGTGTTTAAAGTTAGCATTTGGTCTCCCACATTGAATGTTAATCACATTTTTGAAGTAAGTTCAGTTTCCTGTCATTATTATCAGACTTGTGGCTGACAGTT